TATAATTTAATACGGATGCATAATCCATCGTAATATATTAAAGTAGAAATTTTATGAAAAAAATAATTTGAATTAAGTATCAATCTATTCATCGTCTAATTCAGATTGAGTATTGCAGAAACAAGGGTGATCCTCCCAATCCAATTTATATCATCCACAAACGCCAGGATTTAAATCATTGACATTGTTTAAAGATTCTAGTGACTCATCCCACTAAATTAACTGGTTATTGGTAAATTTTATGCAAATTTAATAACGTAATGAAACATGAATTATATTTTCAGCGATCTAAAAAATTTTCCACTCATTTAAACATAAATTATTTGACCATAAATAAAGTTCATATAAACAACAGCATTAGCAATTACAAATGCTGTTTGGAACTCAAACCTTCCCATACTCTCTAATTCCCCCAGCTTGTATTTGAACCGAAATTAGAGATACATAAATCAGCTTAATTTAACTGCTAAATGGTGGAGGCCTTGGCATGCCTTCGACGACGCCACAAGTCATTACGTCCTCGGGCAAGTTGTACTCGTCCCTCACAGAACGATTAGGGGAAAGAAGACTAATATAAAGTTGTTGTCCAAGGTAATGTCTGTCCCATATCTCGGACCTGATGTTCCACATTCCGCAGTTGTCGAGTGATATAAGGATAGCAGCCCATGAATGTGGGAATACCTGAATGGTGTGTCTGCTCACCGCGTCTAGAAGATTGTAGTTCATCCTCTTTTCTGGACTCCATTTCCCTATCTCTACGCTGCAAACAATGATTATAAAAGCAAGTCACTATTATTCACACCAAATGACCATATTTTATTAGTTAGATTAATTAGTGGTTCCAACACTTACGCCACAGCGAAGAATGCATAGCCATCCACGTGCCAAGATTGAATGGCCGTTTCACTATTCTCAAATATAATTTCGATAAAGCTTTTTGTGTGTCATGTTGAGGACAATAGGTTCTAGAGTTACTTTTGAGATCTTAGTCGGTGGCTCATCTGGAATATTATCATACTTGAAAATCTTGTTTGCAACGCCGTAATATTCCGCAAGTTTCAACGGAGTTGTTGGCTCGACAAATGAGACTCCATTAATTGCATATCGAAGCTTTCCATCTACCTTTTCAGCGGTGTTAGCCAGCGTGATGGTACGGGTAATGTTAATGCCACCATATTTGTAGGATCCTTGAGGATTAGGCCTAGCAGCACTAGCAGTAAGGTTCCAACGGAAGGTACGAAATTGATTGAGTGACCAAGCCCATCCAACTGGTGGCTTTGGAATGTCAGATGAGGGTCCTCCCTTACCATTCTGGTAGCGGATGATGCCCATGGCTGTAGCCTCTCGTTTGGTAAAACGAGTAGAGGCAACAACATAGTAATCCCTCGGTTCCTTGTCGGCTGTGACAAGCACAGTGTAGCATTGTCCCACATGCACATCAAGCGACTCATAGTCATTCTGCACTGTGTGAGAACCTTCCATCTCAACCAGCTTCATGGGGTGGCCTTGAAACCTGAAGTTGAGAGATGTCTTTAATCCAGCATTGCAAATCCTATATCTGTAGGTTTTTCCAGCTTCCATGGTGAAGAGAGGTTCGTCTTTACCATCACCTTTGGCCACTTTGCCATTAATGTGGACACCGTCAGCTCTACCGAGGTTGCGACCACTGTCAAGAATTTTTTTGAGAGCCACATGTCCTTTGTTAAACCAATCTCCAATCATTATGGTATAGTCATCAGCAGGTGGATCGTATGGGACAGGAATTTGAGGACGGCTGTTAATACGAAGGCCGCCGAAACCACCAACGGCCTTATGCATAGAGGTGACAGGATAGTACATGTAGCTGCCAATCTGATCCTTCACCTGGAAGTGATAAGTGTAATTCGTCCCAGGTGGGATAGGACAGTTAGTTCCCAAAACACCATCTTGCCAAGAGTTCTTCCTATGTTGGATACCGTGCCTGCAACACATCCCATTCCGAAAATAACTCAATCATTGATTACAATAATCAAACGGAAAACCATCCTTTGTTCATGAATCGTAAGTTACTTACCATGTTATAAGGAATGGCTCGTCAAGGTTATTAAACACATTGACCACGACGTTATTGTTGGTGGTAGAGTTTATATTTGGTCCGGGGAATTCATTATTAATAAGAATACCTTTCACTGGAACTCCCAAAGGAGAAATAGTGCCATAAGTAACATGCCATTCGAAAAAAATATAAGGATCTCCACATTCAACCATCAATATTGATCCAGCCCAAAAACATAATAGCATCGATATGAACATCAACGGACCCATCTCTTGCTATGCAAATTATTAACGTACAACTCTTTATCCCCTGCTAAAGGAAGATATTGCTTGAGTTGGTTTCAGATTGCATATAGGATTGTCTTTTTATAGAAGAAATTTACATCTTCCACTATCATTCTTCACCATTGATAGCTTCTCTCCGTACCCGTACATTACGCTTTTCTTATATTGAACTATTCTCTTGTATCAGAACAAGAAATTTGCATATCAAGTATATGTACAGTACCATTATTTTTAGGAAAATAGTTGTTTTTTTATAATAAACAAGCATAGTTTTATTATTTTATTATAAATATTAATGACTATTAGGAAAATGTATTAAAGAGACGTTAACTTCCTTTATTCAATAATCATAGTTTTTTTAATAGTCAATAATAATAGTTAATTAGACTACACTATAACAAGACAATTGATATTATTTGTATAAATTATTTTTAATTTTTCCTAGTTACTTGAAATTAGTTAAAAGAAATAAATGAAACAAAGATGAGCAAACTTATATTTATATAATGATACATTAATCAATGTCTTTGAAAGGATTATTCATATACGCAATTAACATTCTATGTTCAGAAGCAGAAGGTGGTGAATTATTGAGCTTCTCTTGAACGGGGCTTGCATTTGTCGAATGTATTGCAACTCGATTAGTATAGTTGGATTTCTCAGTAATTTTTTTTCCTAATAATTAGTAACAGTTAGTATAGTTCGATTGAAACCGTGCGATCAAGCTATGTGACGGGAATGAGTAAGCTTAATTTATATATGAATCTCAGTTAAATTTATTGATTAGATTCAAATCCTTTTAATTTATGAGGATATTAAAGAATTAAATTTTTAAAACGTCTCTAATTGTTCGACTGACAAGAGTTAGTTGATAGGTTTTTTCCATGGTTAATTTACAATTAACGAAAACCCGAAGAAAAATAATTAAATAAACTGAGTTGTGTTAGATAAAAAGAAATTTGAAGAATACTATAAGGCGATGGAATCAGATATTGGATGATCGAAAATAGAGCAACAAACAAGTGAAATTGGACGGTCAAAACTGGAGATTGGATGACCTAATTGTAGTATAAAATGGGGGCAACATGGCAGTGTGGAAGAAGCAAAGCAAAGCATCTTCTCACATATACATAGGTTTAGGGTTTGATACATTTATTATAACAACGGCACCATCTCTCCGTTGGGAGTTCCTCAACAAGTGATTCTCATAAATGGCGAATTCCCAGGGCCCAATATTAACTCCACTACTACTAATAATAATAATATTGTGATCAATGTGTTTAACCATCTTGATGAGCCCTTCCTTTTCACATGGAGCGGAATCCAACAGAGGAAAATTTCTTGGCAAGATGGAGTGCTCGGAACTAATTGTCCGATTGCCCCACGAACCAACTTCACATATCATTTCCAGGTGAAGGACCAGATTGGTAGCTACATCTACTATCCGTCCACGGCAATGCATAGGGCAGCTGGTGGTTTTGTTGGTCTTAAGGTGCACAGTCGTGCGCTCATTCCTATCCCTTATGATGAACCTGCCGGTGATTATACTGTACCGAGAGCCACAAGGAACTGGGGGGCTTCTTAGATAGAGGTCGTCCCTTGGGCAGGCATGATGGTGTCCTTATTAACGGTAAAGCTGGCAAAGTTGAAGCCAAGCAAGAAGCATTGTTCACCATGGAGTCTGGCAAGACATACAGGTATAGGATCTGCAATGTAGGACTCAAAGCCTCCATTAACAAATCAATCATTCTTCATTAACAAATGTTATTGGAGTAATAGAATTTCGATGTTTCATGTTAAATCGATTGAATGTATTATTTTGTCAAACGAAATAATTAGTTTGGCCAACTGTTTGACTCATTTTTCTTGTGATTTTTTTCTTTTTTGCTTTCTTCCTCATTTATTTTTCCTTACATATGGTTGATTTATATACAAGTAAAATATCTTTTAATATTTTATTATAATTTGTTACATTAGTATTTCGTTAACTCAATAATAATTATTAATAATGAAATACTGATTTATTATAAATCGATAATGTCAATGATTAAATCGTTACGTTAAAAATATCAATAAAGAAAAATATATATTCAAACATAAGTGACCATTTATAGAATTTACCCTTAAAAATTTACACATTTTTACACGATGAAATTTGATATGTTTTTTACCTTCACCTACAAAGCTAGAGATTAGAGGGGAATCAAATAAAGTTAAATCTAAATATAGTAAACTAATTGTCAAAGTCAAACCCCAATTATCCATTTAAAACTAATCTAAACATTCTAAGACTTAAACTGACCCTTGATAAAATTATCCAATCCACTTAGGTTAGTTAATAATGGAGATGGATTGTCCTATATCGAGGAAGAAAAAAATTAGAGTTTCAGCCATTTCTTCCTAGTTTCTTCAACCCAGAGTTGTTCTTCTTCCCATCTTTTTGTTTCTTTCTTGTTCAATCTCTCACTGCCACCAACAATCAAGAAGAAAAAAAAACAAGACGGTAGGAGGTAAAAGAAAATCTGGGACATGTTTCTCTCTATGAAATATGTACTTCGTTTCTAACATTCTGTGGTTGTTCTGATCATAGATTTCTATTTTTTATAAGGGTTTAGAACATGAATTTAATTGTGGAATTGGTGTTCTTAACGTTATTTGGTGCTGTTGCTTATGACAGAATCCCTGAACAGGAAAGAAGAAAAAGAAATTTAAGTGAGGAAGGAGAAAGCTATGGCAGAAAATTATTGGTGTTACCAATGCTCTCAAATGGTGACTCCCGTTATGGAAATTGAGATTAAATGCCCGTTTTGTCAAGGCGGGTTTATCGAACAAATGAGTGGTGGTACAAGGGACGGTGCCGACATGGATTCCGACGTGGGATCTGACCGAGCACTTTCCTTGTGGGCACCTATCTTGTTAGGTATGATGAGCAATCCCCGCCGTCGTCGAAGATTCAATCCTATCGACATTGAAGAAGAGAATAATGGTAATGGTGAAGCTCGCAATGACGGAAATAATGATTTGAACCGTGAACTTGAATCCATCATCAGGAGGAGGAGGAGGAGGAGCTCTGCAACGATTTTACAGTTTCTTCAAGGCGTCAGAGATGGAATTGCATCTGAGGTGGAGAATTCCGAGACTGATCGGTCGGATACGAGTGCAATCAGGGATCGAGAGAGGGAACAGGAGCGAGTGATTTTGATCAATCCTTTCAATCAGACTATCATCGTCCAAGGTTCTTATGATTCCAATCAGACTGGTCTAAACTCAAACTCCAATCATACAAGGTCTTTAGGCGATTATTTTATGAGTCCTGGTCTAGACTTATTGTTGCAGCATTTGGCAGAGAATGAATCGAACAGATACGGCACTCCACCGGCACAAAAAGAGGCGATCGAAGCCTTGCCCACTGTGAAAGTCGAGGACGCATTGCAATGCTCTGTATGTTTGGATGATCTCGAGGCTGGTATGGAAGCAAAGGAAATGCCTTGTAAACACAAGTTTCACTCCCAGTGTATATTGCCATGGTTGGAGCTTCATAGTTCTTGTCCAGTCTGTCGGTATCAAATGCCTGCTGATGAATCGAAACTTGATTCGGAGAGGCCAAGGGCTAATACCAACCAAACAGAAAACGGAAACAATGTTCATGGAATCAGTGAAGGGAGTGAAAGCGATGGGAGAAGCGAGAATGGGAGAAGGTTCACAATACCATGGCCGTTCAATGGTTTGTTCTCGTCAGGGTCTCAATCCCACGGCCGTTAATGATTATGTTGTATTAGCATAGCTTCCTCCAGTTCCACCATGCTGCCTCAATATCCTGCCTTGCCTATCATGTAGATAGTTGTTTTGGATTGAATTTGAGAAACCTTGGAAGAATTTGTGCTTCTGTTGTCAGTTTTTCTGCATCTGATATATGTAATTTTCATTTTTTTGCTAAAAGAAAAATGCAATCTCCATTCATTTGTTGATATATGTAATTTGGTGTATGTTCCGATTGGACAAATTAAATAACATTCAATATGGACTAAATTTCATCAGACATGAGCATCATAGTCCATGGGCGAGGCTTTCAGAATGTTAGAAAATTACAATGTAATAAGTATTAAAAAGAAAAGAACACGGAGTTCATTACGAAAATACCCAAAAAAATACAGTTGGCAGACAAGATTTTGATTACAGATGCAGTTTCAATCCGATGCAGAGCAACAACAGAATCCCCTTGCTGGCAGAATCCCAGTGACTTGGCATGCTTTATAGCAAACCCCAAAGCTTCCTCTGTTGTCTCTTCATGAGATGCTCTTGCAGATCCGGCGTATAACACCGGGACCAAACCGCGGAATATTAAGCTGTGCCTCACTGGCGTTTCATCGCTGCACGACCAGTCGAAAGAGTCCGTCTTTACCTCTGACTACCACAGATAAAATCGGCTTCCCTGCCCTGTACTTGGCCACCAGCTTTGCCGTACTTTCCCTCGTTAACACCAATATAACGGCTGCACTTGCTGAATTCGCTGTTCTAACAGCAGTGGCAGCCAAGCTCTACAAGGGACTCATCGGCACCGGTGAGTGTTTCAAGATCCTTTTGACCACATCTTCATAATCTATCGTGCTTTCAGCTTCTAAGCATATTTTAGCCATCGTCCGGACCGTGAATTCCGGGTAAGCTCCAGCAGCAGTTTCGCCACTTAACATCACGCAGTCCGTTCCATCGAGAACTGCATTGGCAACATCGGTGGCTTCGGCTCTGGTTGGCCGGGGAGACTTTATCATGGACTCCAACATCTGCGTCGCGGTGACAACAAGTTTGCCTTGGATGTTGCACTTGTAAACCGTCACTTTCTGTGCTAGAAATATCTTTTCAATCGGAATCTCCATTCCAAGATCACCTCGAGCCACCATAAATGCATCCGAATGTGTAATGATTTCATCAAAATTCGCAACCCCTTCTTGATTTTCAACCTACCACAAATTTTCAAGGGAAAACAATATAAACAACTACACATCACATCATATATGAACTTCTTGAGACAAGCACACCTTGGACATGAGGAGAATGTTCTAAGCATGATCTTCGAGCAGCTTCCGAACCTCGATCAAATCCGAGCCTTTTCGAATGACGAAAGAGCAATCATATCAATTTTGTTGGGAACTCCCCATCCCATGATATCTTCCTTGTCTTTCTCTGTCAAGGTCGGAGGTCAACAATGACCCCTTGATACATGCATCACAAGGCTCACATCAAAGGAAGAAGTAATAACTCTTCCAAATGATCCACTCGTCCAAGCATTGGAAAAGAAGACCAGAACAATAGCAGACTTGAGACGACTTTTTGAATGGGATCCTGATCTTATTTGGTCAACATGTCTTCTGGACATACAACGTCTGTCTCTTATCTTTTCAACGATTCTTGAATCGCATCAATCCGATATCGGGAACTCAAGATATGACCATTTTACTGAAGATGGTGCATGCAGGAAATCCTATACGGAATTAATACGTTATTTTGTAAATATTACGAATTTTCAATATTTATATTGATTATTTGTAATATAATTTAATATAGGATGATTAATTATCTTTTAGGATCAGATTTATTATTTTATTAGGAATTAAGGTTGGGTTAAAACAATATTTTTAGTTATTCTTATTTTATTAGGAATTAGAGTTAAAACATGTTTAGTTTATTATTATTTTATTCTTTAGTTATTTAGGACCTTTAGAATTCAGCCCCTATATAAAGGAGGCTTCATTCAACTTTGTAATTCAGATTTCTTTGATCAATAATACAACGAGAGTTTGTTTTTGCAAGTGCTTATTTCCTTGTGCCTTCGAAGCTTCTTCTCCTGGAGTTCTTTCAAGTTCTTGTGAGGGAGATTAATCTTCACACTCCAATTTGCCTTTTCATCGCGACTAGGAGGGTTGGTTAGAGCCATATTATCGTGTTTCCTTTCCATTGTGACTAGGAGGGCTCGATAGGACACTTATCCATCTATTATCCACAAATCCATTCGCACCATCAATCATCTTTACCGTTCACCTTCATAAAGGAGATCTTCTGATTTCTTTATTATCTTATTTCATCTTTCGTTTATTTATTTTTGTTTATTTTATTCTAATCTTATTGCCTTGATTCCAACACATAAAAGAAACCCTAAAGAATCCTAGCTGCTTGCCGCCACCTTCCCCTATTCATCCCCTTTGTTCTTCATCGAGTCTAGAGCTTTCTAGGTTTGATTCTTCAACAAGAGCAACGTTCATCAACCCGCCACCGCTTCCCTATCAATTGGTATCAGAGCTGGGCCGATTCTTGGAAAGAAACAAGCAATCTTGCTTGTTCTTGCACATAAAACCGTCAAGGTACCCCAACGGAGCTAGTTCACAAAAGATTCAGCGTTTCAGATTCGGTTTAGAATCTTGTCGAATTTCTTGAAAATTTTACAGGAGGAATTTCGTGGTGAAAATTTCCAGATTGAAAATTCATATATTGAAGATCATTCAAACAAAAAATCAGAATTTTTGGAGATCAACAACACCTTCGATCAAAGCGATCAAGAAAAACATATTGTTTGAGGACTCACCATTCAACAGAGTCTACTGGATACTACTGAAGGTATTTGGTTCTGAAATTTTACAGGTGGTTTCTTGACACATCAAAAGACATTCAAGAATTTTCCAGAATTTTTTGACACCGGTAACCCCCTCAAAAACGTTGCTCAAATTGATCCAGTGTTTTCCAGGTTTCTGGGTTGGTTCTTTTTTTTCTTTGACTCTTAGTGCTTTAGGTTCTTTTGTTTTTCCTTGTTATTGTTCTTTTGCATTATCTAACACATTATCTTCATTGTGTTAGTAGGACTAAAGAGTTTGCATACTTCTTCCTTCTTCGCATTCTTGTTCTCTTGGAGTCTAACCCTTGTTTGGCCTCTTAGAACTTTTAGGTTTTTCTTATCGCCTTTGCTAGTAATCAAACTCCGATACGAACTGTGGAAGACTACTTGGTAAAGTGAGTTTTAAAGAGTACAAGATCGGCTTACTTGCCTCTCGTTGTGTTACTTTTTTTGGAGTGACTTGTGAGGTTTCTTGCTTTGTTGAATTTTCTTTCTTTTATTTTTATTTTACTTTAAAATTTTCTTTTGAGTGTTATGATTTCAGGATGGGCGACAATAACAACAAGACACTTATGGCTATCTTAGCCACACTTTCCTGACTCACGACTCAAGTTGAAAGATTTGATGAAACCGTGAGAAAACGATAAGAACCACAACTGGATCTACCAAACCAAAATCCAAGACCAAACAATGTTGAACTTTTGGTACCCAGGCGAGAACAACCACGTTTACAAGCACCCGAACTCTTTGCAAAACCAAAGTTCACGATCCCGTCTTTCAAAGGAGACAACGATCCAGACAGGTACATCGATTGGGAAGGAAAAGTTGATCTCATGTTCGCATACCATGATTGCCCCCAAGCTAAACAAGTTCACCTCATCACCATGCAATTCGAAGGATATGCTCGAACTTGGTGGATGAAGAAAAAAGATCCAGAACTTCCAAATTCCAACAATCACTTCTTGGACCGACCTCAAACAAACCATGAGGAAGCGATTCCTATCGACACATTATACACGAGAAGTTAAACTACGACTACACCAACTTCGACAAGGTAGAAGTTCAGTTGAAGACTACTACAAGGAGATGCAGTCCTTACTCAATAGGGCTAACATAACCGAAAAAGAAGAGGTAACCGTGTCAAGATTCGTCGTCGGCTTAAACTCAAACATCACTGATCTTCTTGATCTCCATGAGTACGAAAACCTCGAAGATACACTAAAGAAAGCAATGACAATCGAAACACAAATACAAAGGAGATTCCGATTCAGAGAATATTAACAAGGTATTTCATCCTCTTACCAAGGTAATCCTTCAAATCCTTCCTCATCTTCTACTCCATCTTCTCTGAAAAAGCCAAGAGATGACAAACCTGACAAGGAGAAAGAACGACCAGCAAAGAATGACACACTTCCAACCCCTAAAGATCAAATGATAATTTGTGAGGAGGTAGAGAAAGTAAAAAAAGAAAAAGCTGAGAAAGAGGCAAAAGAAAAAGAGGACACTAGTTTCAAAAACCAAAAGAATAATGACCCATGGGAGGTGAGTGAACCTAATTGTGAGAAGAAAAGAGTGACTCAAAATCTATGTGTGAGCACAAAAGAATTGAGAGAGAACCTTCTTTACAAACAACCTTCCATCCTTGTTCACTTTAGGGAATCAATTATTTCGATTTCTAACATTAACAAGGATTTGCCTAGTGTGTTTTCATCTTTGTTACAGGATTTTCTCGAGAAGTGTTAGGTGATCCACCCAACGAATTACCACCGAAAAGACGAAAACAACACCAAACCAATCTAATTCAAGGTTGCATCATACCTCGTCAAACATACAATCTCGAAGAAACCAAAGAGTTAGATTTGTTACAAAAAGGCTACATCCAGGAAAGCCTTAGTCGTGACGCCATCTTAATGACGAAACATGACTTGAAAAACTCCACATGCTTTATAGTTCATGCACAGAGAATCCATGTAAATGATGAGAAAGTAAAAGCAACACGAGACTGGACCACACCATCTTCCATCGCCAAGAGTTGTCGAATAGTGCTAGGTGACCCTCCTGACGGGTTACCACCTGAAAGCCCTAATCACTATGCCATATCAATTAAGAGTCACGATTTACGGGAGTCCAAAGACTGAGGTAAGCAAAACACAATAGACGATACACTACCATGAAGGTATACTCTTACCTATCAAACGCATACTACTATTCCGAGAATTGAACATATCAAAGATGTATATCACAATAACTCAGATATTTCTGATAATTCTACCCATACTTTT